GAGAACAGGACATCCAGCGGCTATTGGTGAGCTCCAGGTTGATTCGGGGCTTTCCAAGTCTATAGCATGTATTTTGGTATTGTATAGTAGCTGAGTGTAAGGCGGGGCCTGTCCCGACCTTAACCCCATAATGTTTTATCATTTTGAGGCTTTGTAGACTATGTATAGTGAAGTGTAGTTGTTCCTTGTGTCTTAGACATCATGGTCCCAACGGCCAAGTCATGTGCACTTTCTTTTGGCTTGTTAATACTGTCTACTTTCATGAAAACATGTTATCCACTATGGCAGCACCTTTTAAATGATCATAGATAGAGCATGATTACAGGTTGGTCCTCCCGAGCCTTCTCAGCAACGGGTACCGGTCCGCCTTAATGGGATTTTGGGTGTGACAATTTACTTCACATTTTTGGAATGCTTTCCAACAAGGGCTTGGTACCAATGTTAAACTTAGCATCGCTTTCCACCCTCAAATGGATGGTCAAGACGAACTCACCATTAAAACCTTAGAGGACATGTTAAGGGTGTGTGTGATTGATTTCAAGGGTAATTGGGATGACCATCTCCCATTGATCGAATTTGCCTACAACAATAGTTACCACTCTAGCATTGCCATGGCTCCGTTTGAAGCACTATATGGTAGGATGTGTAGATCTCCGGTTGGTTGGTTTGAAGTAGGTGAGTTTGCTCTAATTGGTCCGAAATAGTTTATAATGCCATTGAAAAAGTTTGACTTATTAGAGAAAGTTTAAAAATGGCTCAGAGTTAGCAAAAATCCTATGCCGATGTTAGGAGGAGGGATCTTGAATTTGAGGTTGGTGATTGGGTCTACTTGAAAATCTCACCTATGAAAGGTGTGATGAGGTTTGGCAAGAAGGGGAAACCTAGTCCCCAGTATATGGGCCCGTACCAAATCTTGAAACGTGTTGGAAAGGTGGCATATGAGTTAGATTTGCCAAGTGAGTTGGCTTCGGTTCACCCGGTGTTTCATGTCTCTATGCTGAAGAAGTGCGTTGGTGATCCTGTGTCCATTTTTCCTTTAGAGGGTTTAGGAGTTGATGAGAACCTTTCTTATGAAAAAGTCCCGATTGAAATTTTGGACCGGCAAGTGAAGAGGTTGAGAAATAAGGAAGTAGCCTCCATTAAGGTTCTATGGAGGAATTACTCAGTTGAGGGTGCTACATGGGAGGCCTAGGTCGAAATGAAGTCCCGTTACCCTCATCTTTTTCCGGTGCGTTGGTGATCCTGTGTCCATTTTTCCTTTAGAGGGTTTAGGAGTTGATGAGAACCTTTCTTATGAAAAAGTCCCGATTGAAATTTTGGACCGGCAAGTGAAGAGGTTGAGAAATAAGGAAGTAGCCTCCATTAAGGTTCTATGGAGGAATTACTCAGTTGAGGGTGCTACATGGGAGGCCTAGGTCGAAATGAAGTCCCGTTACCCTCATCTTTTTCCGCTACTCCTATTCAAACTTTGAGGTAAGTAATTCCTCTTAAAAGTTTTGTGTGTTTTGGGAGTCATGTGTAAAGTTTGAGTTTTCCATGATTTCCTTATATTGTACATGTTCTTGTGAGGATTCATGATTTGCATACTTTGAGTTTTCATGATTTATGTGTTCCTCATGTCGAATTGCATTTTTATATTATGATTGCATTTGTGACTTCATGAGGAGAATTGATGAACATGCTTCGATGTGTTTTGATGAATTGACTTACTAGCTTCATATTGTTGTGCTGAGCTTACTTGAGTTGGAGAAGGTAGTTCCTCCCATGCTTAAGTGAGTTGGTGAGTTTCATGTTGCATTGACCATGTCTTGAGATGGAGTAGAGGTTTCCTCCTTTGAAATTGTGCAAGATGTGATTAGTGCATTTTTGGTTTTTACACATTTTGATGTTTCATGCATGATGGGCTGTTAGTCTAGAGTTTCTAACTTAGTTTGGTGTCTAGATCATCATTCGGGGACGAATGTTCCCAAGGGGGGATAATGTAAAACCCCGGAAATCTAATGAACTAAGCTAGAGCCTAACATGTAGTCTAGTGTCCTAAAAAGGGTTAACGTCAAGGTAAGAGTCGTAAAATGACCTCCCTAGTTTTAGTCATAAACATCAAGGCATAGCTCCCCCAAGGACCACCAAAGGTCCTTGATGAGGGCCAAGGGGCTGCTTAAAATATGTCCAAAAACAGCTTCAACCATGAATGGGGAACCACGAGGCGAGGGTTGACTCACGCCCCGTAGATGGGGGCTCGTGGATGAGTCCTAGACCAAGGCCAAAAGACCAGCCTCAGACCCATTCCATGAGTGACCAGTACAGTCTGTGGATCAGTCCACGCCCCGTAGATGGGGCTCGTGGATGAGGTCTGCAATGCTGTCAAGGATTTCGGCCAAGGGTCTAACTTTCCAATAAATTTCTAATTAATTAAGTATAGGTGGGGATGGTTAATTTTAGTTATTTTAGACCCATATAAATAGTTTTAAGTCATTAAACTTCACTTAACTCCTCATAACTGACAAGACCTAAACTCAATCCACTTCTCTCTCAAAATATTCTCTCTCTAGACTCCATTGAAGAACAAAGAAGAAGCTCAAGCTAGGGGTTCAAGATCCATCCTTTTCACTCCAATCTCGTGAGGAAATCATCAATCAAGGTATGGGAGGCTAGATTCATGAAAAACTTTTCTCCATGAAGCCCTTCAACTCTTAATTTCAAAAGTTGTTATTTGGTCAAGAACTAGGGTTTTCATTCTAGCCATGGGTTCTTCCTAAAAACTATTTCATTTTGTTAATTGTATTATATTATGGATGATTTGATGTTTAATGGTGATTTTTATTGTAAAATTCCCCATGAAACCATGTACTCCTCCATGACCCCAATATCATGAATTGTGATGGGTGCATTGATGCAAGATGATTACTGTGAATTGTATCTATGTTAATTTAGTTATTTGAATCTTGTTTTATATATTCCTATTGTAGTATCTTTAGGTGAAATTGTGAGATGTGATTCATGACCCTTGAGAAGGGGTAATTTGCTAGGGTTTGTGTAGGATGATGACGATTGTATATGAACTCATCATTCACCTACGTAGGGATGATCTTATGGCTATAGTGTATTGGTGGTATTGATGCAAGACCCTTCTCCCCTATGCCCTTACTCTTTATTATGCATGAAAGGTCTATAATTATGATAATGTTGTTGTGTTGATTGAAAGACTATTTTCATGAATCACTATGTACATGATGTGAAAGGTGTACTCTCGTATCGACGATTCTAAGGTTGAAAGGACATTATCACCTAATGAATCCATGAGATACCATGATACCATGATGGTTTGTGTGCTATGAATTCTTCCATGAACATGAATGTAAAGTAAAGACTTAACCTAACTACAAAAGGGAATTAAGCTTAGTATCGAGTGGATAGGAACATGAGATGGGAACCTTATACCTTAGTTAGTACGGGTTCCTAGTCGCAATCTCCCTATCCTATAACTATATGCCCACATAGGTCTCTTATCTAGTGGATCCACTTATAAGCTAGACATGTTAGTTCTACCTTAGGCAAGTAGAACACCACTTTTCGGTGTAGGTTCATGACACCGGATTCCATGTAGCTCATATGGTCTATGTCGGTTAAGGCTACGCTTCCCTACATGATAAGAAAAAGATCCATGACATGACATGAACAAGAACATGAACTAAGAACACAAACATGAGCCATGTGCTGTGATTACTTGAAGGGTCTTACTTATTATGAGTGGGGGTATGGGACTTCACTTATGTATTGCACAAGTGAGCTTTGTGAGTAATTATGGTATGTGCTTGATAACATGATGATTTATGAGTTAATGTATGCTATATATGAATATGAATATGAACCATGAATATGAATATGAACATGAACCATGAATATGAATATGAACATGAACATCAGCTATATCTATGACTTCTTAATGGGCTTTGATTAGTAGGAGTGGGGGAATGGGACTTCACTTGTACATTGCACAAATAGAACAATGAAGGGGTTATGGGGTGGTTTACTTATGACATGAATATGTATGAATCCATGTATTCATAATATGAGTTGGTGTTAAGAATGACTTTCTTATTATGAACTATGAACATGATGTCTTCCTTGTCTATGATTGTTGCCTTGGATGAGGTTAAGGTAAGTGATGCATTATTATGGTAGCCTAGGGTGGCTTACGGTACGATTTGACTTGGTGATTACTCTAAATGTGCATAATGGATTTTAAACTTGATAAAGGCATGATTTCAACTAAATGTCCCTTTTTGCATTATTTAAGGATTTTATGCATGCTTCCGTACTTAGTACAATTAATTGTGCTAACCC